GCGTTTTTGTCGCCGGCGTACATGCAAATTAAATTCAACCCATGAAGTAAAATTTAATTTACTTCTAACCTAACTGTTTACCGTGTTTTTTACGCATGCGCAAACAACTCACGCGAATAATTCTCTCATCGAATGACCCGAGATCACATTATCTTTATTGTGCTTTAATCTTTATGATTTAAAATCAATTAGGAGTCGATTAAACCACCAGCATCTTATCGCTCACAATAAACAATAAACTTCAAAAATATTAAATAAACATTAAAATTACAACAACATGCAATTGCGCATTAGGAAAATGTGACTTAAGTTGTGTTGTGAGTTGACTTAAGTAACATGACTTAAAACTTAAGTCATGTAAGTTGAATATGTCGATGGATGGTATTTGTGTATACGAGTACTAAGTGCGTATGTGATAATTCGAATTCGTGGTTTTCTTCGCCGGTTAAATGTTAATTGGATCGAGCGGATTGAAATCACACACACACGACTTGCGTCTAATGTTTATAATCATCGATGTCTCAATGATAATCATTAGGTTTTATTCGCGCACGAAATTTTATTAAATAAACGAATAATTGAGAAATTTCCCATCGATTTCATCTTAATCTTTGTTATTTTATATTTTAAAAGTTTAAAAAATTGCAATTTCTCCTTTGTTTACCGCAATTTGTTTAAATTTTAAACATGTCGTCCATTTTAGATTAACATACCTTAATTATTTAATTATTCAAGCGCTGCGTTTTTGTTTTTACGATCAATTTATAGTTTTACGATTGTGTTCTATTTCCTGGCACATATTTTAACATCCAGAGCCGGATTAGCACTTAAAAATTTATAATTAATTACAAACAAAGAAAGTGTAAATGACAATGTTAAATTTATGACTGGTATAATTTTATTTTGTGCTGTGTAAAAAATTTTACGGCTTTTTTTATATTGCTGATGTTTTGTTTGATAAAAAACAAAGTTGTTATTAGTTGCGGATACGCGTGCGACGGGCAACACTTTTAATTAAAGTTTTTAGCCAATGGTAAAGTGTGGATAGACACAAGCAATCATTAAAATCGGCTAAGTAAGATGTGCGCGCTCCAAATTTCGCCGCAATAAATTAACACACAGGATGTTGGCGTAAAAATGCATTTGCATACAATTTAGACGCGCGTGTTTATAAGGCTTGTGGGCATGCGCCTAGAGATAAAATTTCAAAACCAGTGGCCGAGGCCGTGCCCATCATAAACATTTTAACAACCGGTCAATAATCGTCATAAAATTTTTGGAGCACAGCAAACAAGTCAACAACTCAAGACAAACCCGTGAGTTTTTCTGTGCTGGTAGCCGTTTCAAGTGTAATCAATAAACAATTAAGTAAACTTTACTAAACTATATACTATGTAAATTATTTCTTGTGTCGTGTCGTATAAAATTTAACTTTGGGCTGGTCAGATCGTGTAATATAAACTTTGTTAGTTTACAACTGCGTTAAAATACGAGAAATGTAAATTATAAATTTTAACAAGAAATATTTTAATGCAACAAAAGCAATTTATTTTAAATTAGGAGTAGATATTGAACAAAAATTTCAAAAAAATTGTTTTTTAATTAAAAATTTTAGTTTTTCTTTAAAATTTTTGAAATTTTCTCCAGGGGTGGTCTAATATTTAAAATTTAATTTTTTTAGGTTCTGTTTAGACGGTATATTGGTGGATATTTTAATGAAAATGACAGTTTACTCCGTAAAAATTAGAAAAAAGTTGATTTTTGACTTCAAAACTAAATTTTTGACATAAAAAAATCACAAAAATTAACAAAACTTTTTTAAAATTGACGAAAAACGGTAATTTTTGAAACTTTATGTTCAAAACCATCAAAATATTGTCGATTAATGCTTTAAAACCAGTATGAGAATTATTTATTCCATAAAAATAACAAAACTGATTCAAATTCTGTTAAAAAATATTTTAAAACAACTTTTATAAATTTTCTCGCAAAATATTTGTTTGAAAATTGTGATAAAAATAAATAACATGCAGAAAATTATAATATATAGATTAGTCAAGATGTAACACTAGAGATATCCGTAATTAATCAGCAAATCAGCAATTTGTTTGCAAATTAACCAGTATTCATTTTTAATTAAATGCGCATCAAGTGCATGAAATTCATTAAATTCAAGTCTCACCTTGACGCGCACTCAAATTTCAACGTAATTAGCACGAGAATAATATTCATTCATCGATGCATCCATGCAAATTAAAGTTTTAAATAAAACTTTTATTATGTACTAATTATATACCAACTGCACTCAAACTATAATACAACGCAAATAAAATTAATAATAATGAGAAAAAAGGCGTTCCATCACGGCCAATTTATTATGTTTAATTAAAATAATACACAAATATATATTCTCTGTATATTTATAATCAAATCAAGAAAATTCATTGATCAACGATTAAATATTCATTTTCCGTTGTTACCAGCGCAGACAATTTCATTTTGCGCGTCTAGAAAGGTGAATAAAGTAACAAAGTTATTACTTACAAATCGGCGATGTTCCAAAAGCGCACACGCATTATAAAATATCTTCATTAATGCTTTGTTATTAGTGAATTTATGTTTTCGTACTTGTATGCGAATAAGCGCGAAGACACTCACAGCGCAATTTGTTATTTGTCTTTGCGGGCAAAAATGCGCTTCGACTTCATTCGCCGTTGCATGCGTTTGCTGCTGCGAGGTTGCTAATGACATAGAAATTGTTAAATTATTGCGAACACCCACGTGCACCGATGATATTTGCCGGACGCGGTAGTTTCAACGTTATGGTTGTTTTTCACGTTATTCTAAACTGCTCAGAATACAAGGTGATGCAAAATATTAAAAATTTATGAAGAAAAACAATAAAAAATCATTTTTTGCGTTTTTAATCAAAATTTCATTAAAAATAGTAGTTTTTGTGATAGGTTATGTTATGTTTTGTAAAGGTTTAAGTATTGTCCACTAGATGGCGTTAGACTTTCAATGTTTAGTTGATTAAAATAAGGTAATTTTGTGTTTTTAATTTTTAAGAAAGTTTTTATTAAAAATAGAGTTTAATACAATAGGTTATGTTATGTTTTGTTTGGGGGTTTACGTATTGCCCACTAGATGGCAGTAGTAAGTTGATTAGAAGTAGGTTGGGTTCCGCGTGGACATGTCAGCCATTCGATGGGCTTTTCGCGCGCAATGCAGAATCGTGCGCGCGTTTGAAGAAGATAGCTTTATTATACGCACGCTGTCATTATGCCATTTATTTATCTGCATGCGAGCGCGGCGCAGATGTCCTGGAAATTTATGGCGACCCGCGCGTAAAATCTCATCGCGCTGCTGCCGCTCCTTTTCGTAACTTACTAACCTGTGACTATTACGGATATTTCCAGCGGTATAAGACACATAGTCATAAAATAACCTGAAAAAACGCGCGCATTTTTCCACACACACAAAATGGCGTCATTAGAAATACTTTTAAGGTTGGGTGTACATTTGTAATATGTTTATGTAAATGATACGGCTACCAGTGTTCAACTTTAATGTGTCAATGTTAAATGTCGCACATTGAATGTGTAATAATCGTTTTTGACAAAAGAACAACGCAGGTATGAATTAATATCAATAAGATTTATTGGATTGGACAAAGTGGTGCTTGTGGTGTTAATATAAATTTTATCGACTGTATGCAGCCACAAACGCGCCCCGCAGCGCTTAGGCTGATTTAACTACACGCCTATTAGTGAGATTAACATTCGACTATTGTTTAACAAACACGAGCGGTTCATTGGCGGTTTGCGTGCTGTTCGAATGGCAGTTTGGCAGTCAAGTTGATACTTCTGGTTGCGTTTATTGCAAAGCCATCAAATGCGAAACGATAAAATTGTCTGTATGCGCACAAGTGGCCTATCGTAATGTATTATAGATGTCGCTGAGTGCGCGAGTCATAAATGTTTAAAGTTTAATAAGTCGTAAAATATTCCAATTAGATTTTATTTAAATTTTATGTACTTTATCTCAACTGTTGCGTGTTATGGACAAATATAGAATATTTACTTTTTTAACGGATAAAATGTTATGCAATTGCAATTGTACTGCATAAAATATACAACGCCATCTGGGTATAAATCATATAACTAAAACTATATCCATATTTTTGTTTTTTCTGTATTTAACGGTTTTAAAATTTAATTATTTCAACAAAAACTATTCTATATCATTTTCCATAACCTAATTCATCTTTATACAAAAAAACATGAAAATTACTTCAGTAGTTTAGGCGTGAAAAGAAAACAAACATTCTTATGTGAATAATCCATTGATTTTATTGTGATTTATTTTGTTTTCACAGACCACTTTCTACTCAATATCACGTCATGCAGCGTGCGTTGATAAATATCGCATAAATTATTTTAATTTGCCAATAAAGTCCAGGCAAATATCGCCGAAGTTGATTAATGTAGGTAGATTCATGCGACGTGATGCCTACTCTCATGTTGTCATTAACTGCGCGCACGCTGTCTGCGCATTCGCCGAATTGACATTCGACACTCGATGATAAATTAATCTTTAATATTTTAACAACTGTTTTAAACCAAAACCACCAGAAAACTTCCAAAGAAAAATACATGATTAATTTGTGTCTAATTTGTTCGATTCCATAATTTCATCTTATTTAATGTGTTATTTCCCATGGTAAATCGCTAGTCATAAATGACAACGCATAAATTACCCCGAATAAATTACGCGTTTATTCATGTCCACTACGACAATGGCAACATAGTTGCGCACACAAAACGCTCATAAACGTAATTTTCAATTTACTATCAGCGCGCGTTTATCGCCATAATGATCATTTACGCATCGGATTTTTCAAAAGCGCGCGTCGATCGTACGTTTTCGTAAATTTTTAACAAACGACCATTTCAACCACACACAATGCGTACAAAGAGCATAGTTGTATTAGTACCTACTTTCAGCCGCTTGTGTGCTTTGTCCTTTTGTGCGTTTACGTAAATACTTTGCCGATATTCCTTCCTCGATTATCATCAACCGATGTAGGTAATGATGAAATCTAAAATAAAAAATAAAATAATAAAAGTTAGTTTACTTTATCATCACGTGCGTGACACGAAAAGATATTAGCACGTTGTTAACATAACGGTATTGATATTAAAAGTGTGATAAAAAGGTTAAAATGTTTGATTTATGATGAAGAAATTGACCTACTAGCGCCCTCTAGTGGTGATTTTAATAACTAACGTGTATATTCATGTTTATCGCAGTAAAAAATCACGTTTCACATTGTTTTCTTGTGAGTTTTTTGTTTATAAAAGGCAAATTTCTATGTTTATCTTTATTATGATGTGTACAATCCCAACTCACGTTTGTAATTTGTCCATCACACAATGTTCACATAAATGCCGCGACGCATTAAAGTCTTTATTATCAAAATATTTTAATTTGTGTAGTCGTGTCTCGGGCGTCATTTTCGGGCCGTTTAACGGGTTCGAAAGGTTAAGGAGACTCCGAGGTGTCGGTGCTGGCATCGTGCGATGCGTGCGCGCGTAAAACACACGAACATGACAATTTGATACGTTGCCCGTTGACGGACATATTATTAGCGACGTTGCGCTGCGTGTAATTGTTGCGCGAGGTGTGCGTCGCGTACAAATTAACGAATGGATCGCGCGCGCGCGCCCGCTCGCAGGTTGAGAAATTATTTACGATTTCAAACACGCGCACGCACAAAGACTGCTTGTCGGGAGAGACAAGAGATTCTTATCAGAAATGTCTGTCTGTGGTGTGTGTTATGGGTTAGAAGTTATTAACACTGGGAGTAATTATTCATTGCGATTGTGCGTTAAAGAAGACAATTTGCTATTCACGCGAAATTAATGGTTCATATGCGAAAAATAAACAGGTAATATTTTAACTGCTGTTTTGCGATAATTACAAATCATTTTAATCGAAGTTTTAATGTGTGTAAAATGATCTGTTGTGAAATGTTCGCTTTTTGATACATGTCACATGTTAAGTTGGTTGCATAACGACAAAAACGTGTTAATCATCAAAGAAATCGTTCAAACAAAGAAACAAACACAATTTTTGCTATATTTTCTGTGTTTGTTATGTGGGTTGCATATACAACGTTCAAAACCTCTAACTTGATTTCAGCAACTTGGTTGTCTTGTTACAAAGTTAAATATTCCGCGAATGCGTGGCGTTCGGTTCCGCATAATTTTTCAGCGGTCGCTAACTGGCTACCTGTTACTTCTGTTACTTCGAACGCTGTTAGAGGCGTATGCTAATGGCAAATGTCTTTATTATCCTGCTGATGTTGGATGTTCAATGCCTCCTGACGCTGGTCGTTTGTTTCCTCGGCTATAACTTCAGTGCATAACAATAGTTCGGGCAGCTGCCGCCTGCCAGACGGAATTTAAAATTAGGATTTATCGGGCTATTTGCGGCGACAAACGACACACACAAAATTTCATGCGGGTTTACTTCAAGTAGGAACTCTTTTAAGTGCTTATTAATGTTATAAAGGCAAAATTTGGGTTTTTTGTTTGTTTGTTACACTTTAACATGGAAACTACTGACTCGATTATCATGAAATTTTGTATATATAATTTTAAGGGTATTGAAAAGGACATAGAATGTTTTTTAATCACAAATTATAACATACAGGGTGTTAAATAAGGGTTGAAAGAAAAATCATAGTTATAGTTACATAATTCAGTCCTAGATAGCGCAATAGAAGCATTTCTTAACTAACAAATACTAAAAAGTAATTTTTACTAAAAAAAATACAAACGAAAATTTAGTAAGCATATAATTACGTGATAACAAAATAATACCCAAGTATTAAATATCGTAATAACGGCAGCAGGAATAAATTTCATCGGCATGCGCGTAGAATCAAAATTCATAAATCATGCCCCGAAAAGTAAGACACGAAATTATCTCTCGTTCAACTCGGTACCGCAACAAGAAGACAATACGATAAATATTTCAACTACAACGCCTAGTTTAGTTCTGGACCAGTCTAGAGTAGATGTACTTTGGATGATAATAAGATACTCGTACATCTGGGGCAGTGTTATTACCGAAACAGACAACAATGTACGAATAACCTATTATATTAGTGCTGGTATAATTTGAATCCGAAGAAAAAGCTATAAAACGTTTATCACATTTACAGTACAGTTAGCTATTTTAAAATTTAGACTACGCATTATTTTGTTATTTTACTCAAAGACTTGAAAAATAATTAATTTCACTTTGTCAACTTTGTATGAATTATAACCAAGAACACTTATGATGACTTATGCGCTGGCGGATTCGTTACACGAGAAACTAATTTATGCATTAACAAACTGGAATCGCACGACGGACTGCAAGTAATCTAAGAGCGTATGAAGTAAATGAAGTGTACGAAGCACTTTCGGAAAATATTGACAGTCGCATTGCGCGAATATTAATTGCAGGATGTGCGTCGTGCGCGTATCATTCGCGAATGATTTCAATGAATTATGCGCAACACCTGCGTTGTATACAACGCGTGCTGCCACCACATAACCTCAACTAACCAAAACATCTAAGTAAAGTTGGTTTAAAAACCTCAAAAATGAATGAATTCGCTTCGGATGGGAACAGTTGGTAATGGCTCGTAATTATAACTATTAGTACGTCATTAAAATCCAATAAACACATTTATAACACGAAGAATGAATTTGAAGCGTCGTCAAAGACGTTAAAATTTACTTTCACGGACCACCAAAGCATTTGTAGGACATTAAACATCAAAGAGACCTTAAACTTGTTGAAAAACATTAAATTTTCCTATTCTGTGCATAAAATTTATTTCTTAAGAATAAATTACGATTTTTTGTTTTATTTAAATTAATTTAATAAATTATTTTGACACGGGACAATGATAAATCGGATTATAATTCAAACTAATAACAACGCGACCTATTTTACCTCGTAGAAAAAATAATAACAAAAACACAAAAGAATTATTAGATTAATGTAATTACATTCGAGAGCAATGAAAAATTGCTCGAAACTGACCTCCTGCTGTGCTCAAACAAACGCTACACATTAAAATTGCATAATTTAATATCATGCATTGAAACCAATTTGTTTAAACTATTTTTTATTCACATTATTATTATTAATGTTACATATAGTATCATATATCTTATATGTTTAATAAATTAATCGTGTGTTTGTTGTTTTAATTGGTTTTTATCATTTGTTTGCATGCGACATGTCACATCGCACTGATTTATCACCGACGCTAATGAATCTGAAACGATTTGATACCGTCGATGGCGTTTGGAATGATATCGTGAATAGTGTCGAGATTAATTGTTGCACAAATTAGAAAATAACGCGCGAGAGAATCACGAAAAAAACGCGAGCTCGACGCGCGCGACTGATGAAAAATTTGCATATCTTAATTATCGCCTGTCGTGCCGAGCTGTCTCCGACCTCTTATTAACACCACGAACAGAGGACAGACAACAACCCGAGGAATCGTAAGCGAGTAACACGTAAATGCTGACTTGGCGCAGTCACGCGATCGGCGAATAATGAGGAACACATTTTAAGTAAGTGACTTAAGTTGGTTTCGGTGAGTTATGTAGAGGAAATGTATCCGAATCTAAATTTATTTTAATTTTTAGTCTGTTATTACGTTTAATAAACCGGAAACTGTTAAAAATGTATTTTGAATTAAATTTTGGTTATGTTGAGTTGGCATTACGGTTGTTTAGATATTTGCATTCAGTATGTAGCTATAAAATACGTCGCGGAGTAAATGGGAAATACCAAGGCGAAAATCACCAAACGTCCCATCATTTTCGATTTATCTGCCGGTGGACTCGAGATCGCCGTTTTCGCACAATGCGTTCGTGCGTTCCGGTTATCTTAATTGGCACGGGAATCGCGTTTTGCATTTGGTTTATATCGCCGGGCGTATTTCATATTACGCCGCATACGGCGCGAGACGACAGTAGTTAGCATTTTCAGTTGCATACTGCTGTGACTGGTGCTGTTTCTGTTGCCTAGTTCACGGGCATTCGACAGTGCATTTTATTACACGATAAGTGAATCTTTTTGACGCGGTTACAAGGTGTGTTTGGCTTCTATTGCAAAGATAAGTGTTTGTCAAAGTTAAATTTGTAGTAATTTTAGTTATTTTAAGCAAATTATTGAATAAATTGTTGTTTTAAATTAGTTTTTTGAGGTTAAATTGATATTTTTATGAATTAATTTTTAGAATGAGTGTAAAATTGGTTGCATAGGTTACTTCATTAGCTGTCAAACGACGAATATAACAATTCCTGATCAAATTTTTGCATTAAAACGTTTAAAAACAGTTAAATTACATAAAAACAAAGAAAAAATTATAAATAACTAGCTGTTGCCCGCGACTTCGTTCCGGCAGTGTTTAATAAAAATGTAATTCGTTTTTACTCTCTTGTTCTAGACATACTCGTAGTAAGAGTCAATTCTATCAATAAGATTAGCAATTTTAATTTAAAGAAATTAATTATATTAAGTTTTGTCAATAATGCACTTCAGCGCGCCATCTCGAATTCAACTATTTAACTATAACTATGATTGAATCTCAATGTCAAAGTTTATTCTATAGAAAAGAGCTGTTTTGAGGATTTTCCCGGCTATTATTCGAATTTTTCTCACCTTTTAAACCTTCCCTAGACCGCCACAAATAATTCAAGACCAAGATAAGATAAATCCGTTCAGCCGTTCTCGAGTTTTAGCGAGACTAACGAACAGCAATTCATTTTTATATATATAGATTAAATATTACACCAAATTTCACCCTGTAAACTCAATTTAATGTTTAAAAAAACGATTTTGAACACAAATCTTCCCAAAATATAAATATTTGTATTTAAATATTTTATTAATTAACCATCCATCTATTGTGTGATACGCCTATTCAAAATCAGTGCCATGTGTATTTCTCTAACCCAAATTAGCTACCAGATTCTTCATTTGTAAATACTCGGCGATTAATCACCAGAAGCTAATCGTATTGGCGTCATTCTTCTTCATTCGTGCGCGGGCTTAAATTCACGCTGAAGTGCACGCCATTAACAATCGACAAAAACGCTAAATACTAGCAAATTGCGTAAGTAATTCTGCATTCAGAATCAAATAAAACGTCAGGCTATTCATCGGTGGGAATTACAAGCTAATCGCATCTTGAACTCGTTCTCGCTGTGTCAAAATACAAAATAAACTTCCTTTCAATTAAATCAAATTCATATTCTTACACAATACTCGCACATCCACACAAAAACTATAATGTTATACATTTGGGTGTAATTTGTTTAGTTTTAATTTTCTTAAGCATTTTAAGTTGTTTTTAATGTGTTCAAGTATAAGACTCAAATTAAAATTAGCCAGATTTCTAGCACCAGCCGTTTCAAGTGTTGTAATTAAGAAATTTAAAAAAGAAAACAATATTGATGCTCTTCTGCGAAGAACATCTTGCTTCCACGCTTACCTTCACCACTTTAATAAACGATTTGTAAGCTGCGTTTGGTTCATGCACGCACAATTACCAAATTGGAGTTTTCACTCGCTCTATAATTAACTCATAACCGTTAAGAATTATACGCACACACCTGAATTACATGTAATTTGTTAACATTCGGATTCGGTAAGGTACCGCACTCAGCGTGTTTAGCTATAAGTCAACCGCGCATCAACCGAACATCGCATGAACCTTCAACTTGAACAATTTTAGGTGGTGTACCTTTGGTGCGCATCTTTCGGCTCACGTACACTGCTGAGTAATTTAGCGTTCAACATGACGCCGATGCACCGAGCAACACAAAATACCAAACATTCTACATATACAAACTTTAAAACACCGAACAGTGAACATATTTAACATGGAACATTGTACTCGCATATACGAGACAGCACAGTTTGAGACTCTCATAGAAATTATTGCGCTTGAACACTTTTAAAATGGGAAATTTAGCCGCAATTAACATTGCTAACAAATGAGTACAATTAACTACACGGCGAGAACATGTGTAAAGTAATAATCTGGTCACAGAGGTACTTACCTCACCGATAGACAATGTTGATTTTATTTAATTTTTACTCATTATTTACGGTTATTTCTATAAATATTTTGGTGAAATATTTAAACACAATCAGATATATCGCGATATTTAATATTAACCTATAATTTTTATGTTGCTCTTTGGAAAACGAGTTTTTTTCGTTCGCGAAGATCTCATCAGTTGTGGTAATTTGCGGTTTGCGTTTCTGTATGCAGCCCAAAATACGAGTATAACATCCATCAAAAAATCATCTCGATGAAACAATGCAGCTTCTTGTGCAAAAAATTAAGCAAAAAATGTTGGCGTCTTTTCGTGACGGGGCAAATTATCTACACGACAGAATCAGTAATTTTTACCGATGGCACGTCATACAAGTAAAGTAAGTTCTTACGTTGAAGAGAAAAGGAGTACTTAAGGTGGATGCGTAAAAAAATAAAACCAGATCGAAAATTACGCTGTAAAAAACGTGTAAAACTCACTTTAAAGGTGAAATAAGTGTTGGTTTTTTATTTAAAACAAATATTACTTGTTTTCATATACTGACAGTGACGATGTGTAATAAACTGTCAAAATTATGACATTGTTTTAAGTATAAATGAAATTAAGATTTATTTTCTTATTTTTTGGACCTAATAAGGATCGATTTCATAAATAAAGTTCAGAATTTTTATTTTAAACAAATGAGATATGCTAATAATGCATCTCAGCGCCATCTAGGATTCAATTACGTAACAATAACTATGATTAAATCTCCATAGCAAATTTAATCTCTTATTTAACACTCTTAAAGTTAAAATTTTTAATATTTTAATAATTATTCTGCTACTCCGGGCCAAGACGAATCTCACAAATCATTGATCATCAAAATCTGTCCAGCGGTTCTTGAGTTATAAATGCTCTAACTAACTTTTTTTTTAAATTTTTGCTTTTTATGACTTGATAAATTCCATTAGTCTCTCCACTAATTGTCTCCCAACGTTAAATCTCATCAGGCAATAACTGAAGACAGAAACCCGGATTGAAAATCCTCAACATCGTCGTAAATTTTCATCAAGCTAAAAGCTAGACTAGATCAACCCGACTACACAGCAGCAAGCAGATCAGCAGCGACGTTGAACATTTTCATTAGCATCATGTTTGAGCGTTTAAGAGCAGCATTTAAGTGCTCTCAAGTTAAGTTAAATGCACGAGTGCAGAATCTAGTGCAGAATCAGCTTCGTCAATTTCTATTTGTCGAGATTGTAATTAATTCCTCGTTATTGCAAACATGCCTAATCACTTATCTTCAATTAAATTAAGATTATACTGCTTTTAAAAAATGCTGCAAATTTATTTTCTGTTCCATTTTTTTGCTAAAGGTCGTATTATTAATTCATTATATTAAATTTAACCAGATATTGGTGTTGCGTAAAGTCATGCCAGCTGAATCGGATCGTGATCGCATTTGCATAATTATTCAGTGCTATGGTTTGCGATTTTTTCACTCCTCGTCGTTGCATTGTTTCGCGCGCATAATCGTCGAGATTATTGTGTTGTGCATGTGTCTACCGAGTGCAATTCGACGTGTAAAGATAAAGATAAAACTAAATGCAGTATTAACACACCGATTGATAATAAAGTCATAAATTATTAATCATTACAGATTACATCCAAGTATTTAAATGCTTTGTTCTGAAAATCTTGGTGATCTACTTGTAAATATTGTATGTTGGGTTGCCTAAAGTAGTCCAGCATTGATTTATGTGTTAAATCACAAGTAAAGTTGTTCAGTTTGTATTAAATTTACGTTTTAGATGAAATTCAATTGCAAAATAAGTTATTAATTAGTACAGGCGAGTTTAACTGAGTATTTAAATGTTTTGTTCCGAAAATCTTGCTGGTTTACTTATAAATAGTGTATGTTTGGTTGCCTACAGTGCATAGCATTGATTTATGTGTTAATACGAGAAAAGTTATTGAATTTGTATTAAATTTACATTTTTTGCGATGTGATTCAACTGCATAATAATTTTTTAATCATTACAGATTATAAATGAGTATTTAAATGTATTATTTTGAAAATTCAGCTGATTTACTTGTAAATTGTGTATGCTGGGTTGCCTACAGTACGCAGCATTGATTTATGTGTTAAATTACGAGTAAAGTTATTGAGTTTATTAAATTTACGTCTCGCGATGCGATTCAATTGCAAAATCTCGCATCAGCGCACATCTATCGCGCTGCGATCGTGCGTTATTAGATTTAATATTGCATTCGATATAATTTCGTAATTTCCGTATCGCGACGTCGAGTTGCCGGCGCTCGCGTTGGGAAAACGCAATAATAATATGTATTAGATACAAATTGCAAATCGAACGAAACGCGCACGGACGTTTTGCGCCGTGCATGCGCATGCAACGCTTTGATTTTCTCACATAAATTCGCATTTGCACGTACACACACACTGCGAAAACTATTTACGTCAACACGAGAGTACTTACGCTGGTTGTATATGTCGGAATCGCCGAAGTAAAAGATTTTTACGAAGGTAATCGACACGCTGGGACCTGGACATACGCAAAACTAGCCGAGCAACTTTAGAAATCTTAACTTCAGACCGCCATTTTTACCTTACTACTACTGCAGTAGAATTTATTGCATTGTCGCCGTTTCGTTGTTTGTTTTGTATTTGTAGCCAAACACGCGTTGTCGTAACATTATCTCGTACAATGACCAATGTTTGTTATGCGGTAAGTAAGTTTTATTTCGACGTTCGGCAGGTTGCGTGGCGCGCGCGTTTAATTCGATCACATGTCGTAAGGGTTACATACGTTACGTAGGCGGTTGGAATTTCCATTTTGGATTTATTTCGCTTTAAAACAAGTGAAATTCTCTTTCATGATTTTTAACTGAAAGCATTTGACTAGTAATGCATAGTTTTGTGTATTGTGATAATATTTTCGGCGATAGAAATGCGAGCGTAAGCCGTGATTGCCTCCAGGCAAGCCTGATTGGAATTTGCTCAATGCTACTCGTACTCAAAGTTGCCTTCCTCCCAGGTTGTGTCTTGCATTGCGGCCGTACCTTCGCGCTCGCTTTTCTTATACAACACATTCGTGACCTTTGCACGAATAGAAAATATAGGGCACATGCATTTAGATTTATGGCAGCGATATAAAATACGCCGTGTGCTGCAGCTGAAAAACAGAGCTCGGAGAGACCCAAGCACGCCACGAATTGTGCAAACCCTATTCTCTCATTAAATCAACGAGCAAATAGATCAGCGCGCATGGAGCTCAGCTCATAAAGTCATAAACATAAATTCGATTGCTGAGCAAAAATTCGCAAGAGTGAATTATGAAAGCGACAATAAAACGTCACCGGGGTTAAGGTAAGGTGATAGTTGTTCGAAATTGGCTCGAAAATTGCTGCTGACTTTCTTTCTTTTGCTGCTTTGCGAGCAAATCGCTTTGTTTGTTGATTGAATTTGCACCTTGTAGTTGAATACCAATAATTCATTATTAATGTATTGATTAGTTTTATGTTCACGCTCTAATTAGGTGGTTTATTGCTAATCGCATCATTTAGTCCAGTTTATGACCGACTGGTGAGACGCGTCGCAAGACTTTGAGTGCATTTTGCAATTGCCTCACATGCTGAAGTGATCTACGAGACGTTAATTACATAATCGCATTAAAACACAACGCACCTCTCTGTGGTTACAGTGATGAGTCATTTTTTATTTGCAGGTGTGCGGCATATAGGTATACATAAATTTAAGTATTAAACAATTTATGTTATTCTTGAAATATAATAAAATTGGAGTACACAAAGTACAAAATTTAATCAAGTTTACGATTTATATAACTTGTTTTCCTTCATTGTAAATATTTTTAATGGTTATCTAACTGTTGATGAGCCTTGGTATAAGATATTTATACTTTTCACCTTGCGTTTCTCTTTCATTCTTATAATTTGCATGAAAAATGCAAAAAAACCTGGATTATTCAGTTTTAAACAAGAAAAATTGGAATTATTTTGTTTGTCTAATGATTTGTCATGCGAATCCGTTATAAAACCTTCTTTTCATAGTTTATACATGTCCAGTAATTAACTAAACTATAATTTTGTTGTTTGTAAGTTGAATTATTTGTCGACGATTCAATAAAAGACCAATAACTGTTTGCAGGTATGTTTACATACCTATATATCAAATGATTAAAAAAATAAAATTCTTCTACTTTTGTAGTTGTCATGAAACACAAAACAACAATTCTCTAATCTTTGACATTCAGAAGTTTATTTCATATATTTAATTCTGCTATATGGAATGCGTGGCGCCATCTACACTATAAAAGTTACACTACTACCGCAACGTAACTTAAACGTCGGTTTTCAATTTATTCTTGTAAATAATCGTCCCGTACGCGCTAAACGTATGCGCCCGGACGTTGTCCTTTTGCAACAACAAAGTATATTGCAATCTGTAGTCACCAGCTGGCAATCCAGGCGGGAATTTATTATACAACAGCTCGTAATTGTGAATTGCATAATGGCCTGGCTGTAAAGGACATCCAGGATTCGGACCGTTCTTTAGAAAACCCGGTAGAATGCCATAATGTTGACTCTTTATTACATCACAAAATTCTTCGTTCATATCAACTAATTTCATCTGATAAGAATTGGCAGCTGCTTTAAATCCTTTGATTAACATTCTTGGCTGTAATCAATCCTAACTGTAATTATCTTGAAATAATTATTTATTTTATTTCTTACTTTATCTTTTGCGCTGATTTCCACGAGAGTGTCTGCTGTTAAATTGATTCCAAATCGATCTCTGGATATTTTCGATGCGACTGCATCGTATAGTTTGAAAATAGTTTTGTTCCAATACTCGTTATCCACTCGACTGAAACGAATAATGTAAGCATCTTGATTGAACTGCAAAATAATTAATTAATTATTGTTTTAGTTCAAATATAATGTGATTTATACATTGTATATTCTTGAATCAACAAAATAAAGCAATAAAATCAATAGGAACAGTGATAAAATGCGTTGAACAATCATGGCTGGAGATTTTAGAATAAAATGAATTAGGAGTGACAATTTAAATTGGATTTATATAATGTTGACGGTTATTGAGATTAGAATCTAATTATCTTCAAAAACGGAAATTAAATACTTATCTACAAGAATCATAATTTCAAATAAACAAAATTTTGGCTGCAATTATCTGCCGCGACGGTAGTTAACAAGTTTAGTTCTAGTAAAATGAAGTATGAAGTATAAATAAAACACAAAAAGGATAAGCCACGGGCTCGTCCGGGATTTGAACCCGGGACCTCTCGCACCCGAAGCGAGAATCATACCCCTAGACCAACGAGCCGATGTTATTTATAGAACTTACAACACAAGAGCAATGACAAACTATTATATCAAACAATATATTTTAAGAAATTCACATTTATTATTTACCAATATATTTTATATTGCAATAATAATTAAATTTAATTAAATTATAATGAATTCATTGTCTTTTGGTGGTGCAATACTTTGCGGTATTTATTTACTCAAAAAAAGTGTGTGAATAGCTTTACATTTGCACTTTTTCCACCTTCCACTGACAGTTGTCTAGTGTGAACTCATTCCTAACCTCATTATAGCACGGAATTAGGTTTTCTTCCGCATAAAAGTTTTGCAATCAGCGTGCGCGTAGCTAAATAGATTTTTCAACTAAAAATAAAATGGTCTTCACAACAGCGGTGAATTTTATACGAGCCCGAGGACCGGACGAGATTTGGCGCAAACGACGCATTTTCAAATTAGCTGCAGTAAGTTGCCATCCATTTTAAAGTGCATCCACCAATTCAAAAACAAAACTTCTACTTTGTAGCATTTCGTCGGCAGAAAACGGAATTGTTATAGTATTGCGTTAAGATACGTGAATAGAGCACTTGTTTATGCTACAAAAGGGCGCAAATTAAAGAAGGAAGACATGGCAAATGTAAGTTTTTGTTAATCACAAATAAAAACTGAAAATAAATATAAAATCACATTACAGTTGTGGGAGAAACGCGTTTCTGCTGGTTGTGAACAACATGGAATCACTTATTCAATGTTCAGAGAATCATTATCCAGAGATGGCGTTATGTTAAACAGAAAAACCCTAGCTGATCTAGCATGCTGGGAGCCATACACATTCAAAGCCCTCACTGATGCAGCTAAACAAAGAGCCCAATTGGATGGATTAAATGTTGCAAAACATTTAGAGCCACCAACTGGTGTGATTCTCAACACCATGAAAAAGTAACTTATGTTGTGCCTAGTCTACCTTAGTGTATTGTAATATAAATGCATCTTTATTATTTCTCAATATGGAAAAATTGTTTCATGTTAACAACACAAAATGACTATGTGCACTAATTATACAAAATTTGTTTGGCCAATTTAACAACAACCTTCCAAACAAACGCAATTTACACCGGGCAGTAGCAAACATCAGAATCCCATTCACAAATTTAGTACAAGCTGAAGACATTCATGATATTTGGTATCAGTCCCCCTTCTTTCTTTTTCTGGAATAACTCTGGCTGTCACATAAATTTAAACAAGTGCTTACAGCACATATTTAGGCATCAATCTTTGCTAAAATGTCAGATTCCCTGTAGAGATGCATCTCCTGCTCATCACTGAGTGACACCTTGGTGCCACCATACTCTGGAAGCAGGACTGTGTCTCCAACTTTTACTTGCAGAGGGATGTGATTACCTGCCTATAAATTTAACCAGAACAATTAGCTTGGAAGAGAATTACATGAATAAAACTTACCTCATTACGTGCACCGGGGCCAACAGCTACTACAACACCCTTGAGAACCTTCTCTGCTGCTTTTCTGGAATAACAATTCCTCCCTTGGTCTTGGTGACCATCTCAGCCTTCTGGATGAGAACGCGGTCGAACAGCGGCAACAGGCGTTTGATTGCTCCAGACTGCAATCAAATTCAATAAAATTTCATTTATAACCGGCACGAAAATGAATCTCATGTGATAATTTAACCTAACTTTTAAAATGATTCTCACGCGACCCTAATATGCATGTTACGAGTAATTTATAAACGTATTACTTACCATTTTGTGTAATTTATATTGTTGGAAGGAAGTAGACAGTGAGATTTGCTTCTGTATCAGAAGGCGAACAGATTCGAGAATGTCGCTGAGATGTTCTGCGCCGCGCCGATCAAAAACCTCGTGGTGAATTCGAGAATGTTCCGATACGCCGGTTGAAATCGTCAAAATGGTCAAAGGGCAGGACGATATGACAGAATGTCAATGCACAGACGTGCGTGAAATTTATTTTTAACTCCCTGACACTTTCTATCTCTTTATACTACATAAAAATGATGAATTTTGTTTCACACAGTTAATTTCGAGCTATTTCTTAGCTTAAAACTTGTAAATAGCTTTAAACAACGTAGAAAACTGCTGAGATAAAACAGGTCCATGTAATATTTGTATAACGCAGCAGGAATATAAAATTAGTTCGGTAAACGAAGTACAGATGGCGCTTGGAGCGTTACATATTCAACAGTACACAGCAAAGCAAAGTTTTCGAAAGTTCAAAATTACTTCACGGAATGGTTTTAGCTTCCAGTCGCGGCTTACGTGAGTTTCGCGCGGATAGAAAGTTTCGAAAATTGAAATATGTGATGCACGTTGTTGAGTTGACAAAAGTTTACGTGATAATTGCATAAGGCATTAGTTGCATTTTCTTTGAAAATTCAATACATAAAAATGGAAAAGTGAGGTTAGTTTTGCATTTTTATTCATAAAATAAGCAATATTTCTGTTTTCACCCCAAAATTAAATTAATTCCATCCAATTAATCTTATATTCGGGTATAAATGCAAAGAAACAGTAAAAATACGTTAAATTTCACTCAAAAATTAAGTTTTTCCTAAGTTTTGACGCAAAAAACGCGAAAAAGGCAAAAAAATATTTCCATAGAAAACAAAGTTTAGTATTTATATTTTTATTAAAACTTGAGATCAAATTTATATGTACAGAGCAATAAGTAATAACATGCTAGTAATAATATAATACAATCAGAATCCGAATGCAGCACGACGCAAACTACGAATGCAAGTTGATCGTGAAATATCCACAGCTATATACAATACGTATGTACATAAAAGATAGAACCCTATAATTATTTTTTGGTATGATTCCCGGCTTTGGTAATGGTACGCGCGTTCATTGTCTGTGGTATTACCAAGGCCGCCACATGCTCTCCTGATCATCGTCGCGGTGATTGGAGTGCCCACTGCTCGAGTGACCACTGTCGTCTCGCTGTCTCGCTGCCTGCGGTGTCGGCTCGTGCTCGTCGACATCGATGTTCACCTCATCCACCACCTCCACGCTATGGCGCGTCGGAAGTGGCAGTCGGCTATAGTCGAGTGGTTTTTCCGCCAGCGGTGGCGAACAACTCGCTAAAGCGTGCAGCGGTACGTCCTCCATCGGCTGCGGCCGCAGGTTGATACCAAGCGCAGTCGCTAATTGCAGATAGTGCGATGGTAGCACAAAAACAAAATTCCCGTCGTAGGTTTTGACCATTTTCGATGGTAACTCTGTCGGTGGGACCAATCCCTCCAATGGTATTGGTAAACTACCAAGTCCTCCAGTTAAACCAGCAAGATGCGCGTTGTTATTAACTTCTTCATGATGCGGTGTGCTGGAATCAGCAGGAAGTTGTAGACGTTCTTCAACAGCCGAAGGTGCGCGTGGTGCCAAGTGCGCAGCCTGCTTAAGGTCAGTATCCACTTCCGAGATGCAATTCTCCAAGTGGCGTAAAAGTCTTTGGCGTACACCGCTTTCCATGACCATCATCGTCTGCGCATCCGGTGTCTCCAGATATCTTTGGACTTCTTTGACGCAATCAGCGTAACCAGCGCGGTAATGATGCACGCCGACGGTGTCTAAGCTGCGATGGCGCTGGAAGTGTCTCACGGTCAGCTCGAGTATATCAGCTTTTTCAAGCTTGGAGTGTTTGGTGTTGTCTGCTTTGGCGGTGTCGAGGATGAGCGTCTTCAGCGCGGCGAGGCTCTGGTTGATGCGGGCGCGGCGTCTCTTCTCCATGAGGGGTTTGTTGGCGCGACGTGGTTCGACGTGTCTATGGTGCTTGCCGGTCTTGGCGGTCATCGCAACATCGCCCCCGGCGAGAGTGCGTACGAGGCGCCGGTGTGTGCGTGCGAGGTGGCGGTAGTAGAGCGTCGCGAGATCGTCACTCGACGCGTGCTCGTCTTCGGAAGGCGACTCCGTCGTGTGTTATGCAGCCGCTGCGTCTCTCGTGTGCTCCTGCCGCTCCTGTTCGCGTCTGCCTGCCGACTGGCGAGTGTCGACCGCGTGCCGACTCTCGCTGGGCGCCGCGCTCTAATCGTGCGCGCGCGAGAGAAGCGGGAATCGGCGGCGGGCGACGCGCCGCGCACACCCGTGGGGGAAGCGGGGGCGTCGCGGGCGCCGCACTTCTGTCGCGTGCCGACACCGCCACATCACACCGACGATCCCGACTGCAGTTCTCAAACTTTTTTCGTCAAATTTCACAAAATAATCCCAACCAAAACTTCAAAAAAATTCAAAAAATCGTTTTTTACATCAAAATTTAACAATAAAAAATATAATTTCTATAAATTACATAAATCTCCATTAAATAAACAATTTTTAAATAATTTTTTATATTAATTATTGATATTTTTAATCAAATTTAATTAAAATATGAAAATTTTTGATAAAAACAAATTTTTTGTTTAAAATTTTGATTGTCACTGGAGTTTTGCGGTGAGCCAGTTGGGTGGGCGGCTAGTTGGCCCCCAGACGCGTCAGACACGCGCCCGCCCCGTGTGGCACGGCGCGCGTTCCGTCGCCCGCCGCCCTCCCTCCTCCGCCCGCAGGCCACCGCTGCTCACTCGGCGGCTCATGTGTGTGACCGCCGCAGCCGCTGGCGGCGTCGTCGCCAACGCCGACGCGCGCGTTACGCGCCTCGTCGCGCCCTCGCGCGCGCCGCCGATTACACGCGCCCCACACCCCGCTCGGCGTCCGCGCGCGCGTTGCCTGCCTCATTATACCGCCACCGCTATTACCGCCGCCGCCGACGGCGCGTGCATGCCGCCCCTGCCCACCCGCGGTCGCGTCTTATCACTCCATCGCATGCCCTCTTATCACATGCCACGTACTGCCGGCACCTTTCGAATGCCCACTTCCACACACCCACCACATTCACATATTTTATCCGCGCCCGTATTCTCGTGATGCGATACAATTACTCCCGCCTGCATCGCATGATCGCTCGTTTGCTCCTGTGCGACGTGCGTGCGTGCGTAGGAACACGCGACGCTGCCACCGCGGCGGCGGCTTTGGTGTGACCGAAGCGCGTGGAATATTAGCAGCGTGCTTATCGCGCGTCGCTTATTCCCATTACGTCTGGGACTACCGACGACTGGCAAAAACATTCGGGCGTCGAACGCTGAAAAACGCAAAAAATCCGACGCGACGTAAACAATTCTTTGCAGTCATGTTGCAGCCGCACACAAAAGAAATAACACAAAACCAAGCACAACTCGCTACTCACAACCGCACAGTGGTAATAATTTAATTATTAATGCGTAAATACATAAAGTACAATGACACTATATTTATTATTAACACATCAATAGCATGAATATTCAGTATAAAATTGTCAATATAGGCAACCAACATAACATCTAAGAATCGCCGCGTAATAATTACTGGCATGGCTGCATCCACCACGCGCAAAAACTAAAAACACGACAGTCGGACAGTCGGGCGACGTATAATCGCTCATTTAGACCTTGATGCATTTCGGTACGAAAACAAAAACACGAGACGCTGCTCCACGCCACACTCTGGCCCAAATTCTGTTTATTGTGTTCGCCGCGTCTCGCCGCGCGTTCTTTTCACGCCACACCATGTTAATTCGTGCGTGTGTGTGCGCGCGCGCACGCTGATGAAATTGTGCATCGCACGCCGCGCGGCAATTATACCAGAGAGAAAAAAAAGAGGAAATAATGACGGCGCGGCGTAGCGCGCCCGCTGAATATATATAAATGGCTCGCGGGTCGGCGTGCGCGGCGCGCGATCATGATCGCGATTCGGGGCCGGTTTGCGTGTGCGGCAACACACATTATTCCTGATGAGTGAGTGTGTGTGTGTGTGTGTGGTGAGGCAAAAGCACGCCGCGCGAGCTTTCGCGCTGGGTGGCGGGGTGTGGGCTGTGTGGGTCGAGGGGAGCGGAATTGATTGCTCTAACGCCGGGCAGGACGTGGGAGGCCACCTGTCTGCGGCAAGTGTCGAGACGGTCAGACTCATAGCGAGCATGACTCGCAGCAGGATTGATTGTTGTACTTTAAAAATTCGTATTTTATACAAAAATTAATATTTTTGTATTTTACGTAAACATTCAGTATAAATTTTCGGTGGTATTAGCTCTGACTGAGCAAATACCGTCGAAGGTTTTTCTGTAGGAGACTTTGCATTCGATTTTCTTTTGCTAGTGACAAATTTGAGTTATCGAATTCAAAAAATAAAATAAAAACTTAATATTTTAATGTAGGTATTAAACAAAAACTAAAATATTAACTTCTGTGGAATTAATTTTTTATTTTTTGTTTTTTTGCTCTGCAGGTCCGTTCTTCGGCTGGATCTTTGTACCGTACCTTTTTACCTTCTCTAGTGGCGGCAGGTACACGCAGCCCTTGGAAAGTTGAAGGGATTCTTTATACCTATATATATTCCGGCGACGGCGATATATAGGTATATATAGGTTCGGCGTGCCGTTTCGCGCGCCTGCCGTCGGCCGGCGGTAACGGCAGTTCGGTCGGTAGGTCGTAATGAAGGTGCTGGTTTAATAATGCAGCAGGGTGAGAGGGCCGGCGCTCGGTCTCCCCGGGGGCGGTCTGGCGGTAACGGCTGGCAGGTGGGTGGCGCGGGCGGTTTGCTTCGCTCGACTCGGCAGCCGACGCTGTGGGGTGTGGGGTAACGCGGCGCGGCGGCAGGCGTCGGATGCGAGCGTCGAGCGACGATCGCGCTATATATATATATACCTACACAGGGTTTTTTTCCTTTCGCCTAGGCGGTGGCGAAACGAGACTGCTGCTTGCTGCCGGGTTGATGTTGGATGGTGGTTGGATCTCCTGCAGCGTTTTGAATGTGTATGTAGGTTGAATTTTCGAGTTGATAAGGGCCAAGTGGCGAGACGAACGGCGCGGCATGCGGCTGATGGCTACCTTATTCTATAAGGATGAGGGATGCGAACAGCGGCGGCATTTGTGGCTGGGCGAGGCTCCAGGCTGCAGGGTTGAAGGAAGCCGAAGATGAGTGGTCGCGGATAGCGGGCGGCCGCAGCCAGAAAGAAGATACGAAGAAATATGTCATGAATATTGATGCGCTGATGCGTGTGTGAACGCGGGGGCTAATTTGAAGTTACAAGGTGCCAGCAGGGAAGAAAAGGGAAAAATTTTGTACATTTCTTGGAAACTAAAAGTATTTTTGGGATATTGTGCTGATTATTGAGGTTAGAATCATTATTTTACATGCTAATACAAGTTTTGATAGATTTTGACTTTTGACAGTTAGAAATTTTGACATTTGACTTTCTATTTGTACATTCCGTTGAAATTTATTGGAAACGGGATTATTTTGTATTAAATATGCAAATTTTGTGGAATATTTCTCATAATGGCCATTTTTCTGCAAAAATTTCGTATTTTTTGAAGGTTATCTTATGTTTTACAACGCCATTATGTGAAATTTTAATATATTTTGACATTTGACAGTCAAATGGTTGACATTTGATATTCCAGTATTGGAAATACAGAATTAGTGAAATATTTCGTGATACTAATAATTTTTTATCAAATTATCCCAATTTTTAAGTTTAAAAATAGATTTTTGTTCGAAAACACACTAGATTTGAATCGTTTTTGACATTTGACTTTACGTTTATATATTTTGGTGAAATTTATTGAAAAATTGAATTATTTTGCATTGAAATCGCAAAATTATAGAAGTATTTCTGAAAATAACAATTTTTCGGCAAACTATTCGTATTTTTCAGGGAAACCACGATGCTAAATTTTAATAGATTTTGACATTTGACAGTCAAAACTTTTGACATTTGATATTCTACTACGAGAAATACGAAAATTTGGTGAAATATTTGTAATAATAATAATTTCTTATCAAATTATTTCAATTTTTTAGTTTACAAGAGATTTTTATACGCAATCACAGTATACTTCAATAATTTTTTACATTTGACAGTGAAAACCTTTGAAATTTGATGTCTTAATATTGAAAAAACAAAAATTTAGTGAAACATTGGTAAAAATAACTGTTTTTCATCAAATTACTGCAATGTTTAAGTTTGAAATAGATTTTTACACGCTTTTGCAGTAGATTTTTGAATTTTTTGACATTTGACAGTGAAAAACCTTGAAATTTGATGTTCTACTCTTGAAAATACAGAAATTTAGTGAATTATTGGTTAAAATAACAGTTTTTTCAGCAAATTACTGCAATTTTTAAATTTGAAATAGATTTTTACACGCAATCGCAGTAGATTTTAATGCTTTTTGACATTTGACAATCGAACACATTCGCATTGCACACGCATATGATTTATCGATTTACTAGTGTTTTATTATTTGCAAAATTTGATGTGCTTGTATTGAAAATGCAAAATTCGTGAAATAAATTGACGCATTAGAGCGCCAATTTAGCACCGCCGGAAATATTAAGGTCGCACCCTGCGCGCGTATTTCGCAGGGCAGTAAAACGCGCGCGGCGGCATTCAGGCGTCATGCCACCCACGCCGCCACCAGTCAACTTGGCAAATGCATCAAAATTAATAAATTAATTCAAGCTGCTGCAAAGATTTCTAGTTTTTAATGCTACGCATTAAACAAGTAAAATTTTCGTATATTTTTTCCGCGTGCGTGTTATCAACTTGGGGGCGCGCACGCGTTATCATTAATAATAATCGACGCGTTTCTTCGTATCTCTGGGTTTTATTAGTGCGTGAATTTCGTGCATGAGTGACGAAGCGACGCGGCGCACACACGCGGCATCGCGGCAATAAACAGCGACGGCGGGCGCGCACATGCAAATGCGGCGGCGGGGCGGCAGAGGCGGGCGGCGAGCGCAAGCGGCATTAAAGCGAATGTGCCGAAAGGCGCCGCGGTGTACAGTGTGCGGGCGTCAAACGTGCGCTTCCGAGCTATCGGTCTATCTCGGCTGCCGCCTGCTATAGATATATCGAGAGCTATAACCGAGCGAAGCATGAGCGGAGCGCCAGGACGGAACGACGACGGTTCGCAAACAGCACGGCGGCACGGCGCGGCGGCACGTCGGTGCGGTTCAGTCAGTAAGCGGCGGAGGCGAGCGCCGAGCGCCGTGGGAGGCGGGCGGCGGACGTGGGACGGGAAGCGGCGAAGGCGAAAGCGTGCGCGCCGCCTGCGTCTGCCTCTATGTAGATGTGTGTGTTGGTGGATTCCGT